GCCCCTGCCGCCTTCATGGACTTGATGACACGTGTGTTCAGGCCATACCTTGATTTATTTGTCATCGTCTTCATTGATGACATACTGGTATACTCGCGGAGCCGGAGTGAGCATGAGCAGCATTTGAGAGTTTTGCTCTAGACTATGAGAGATCAGCGGCTTTATGCCAAGTTCCAAAGTGCCAATTTTGGTTAGACTCTGTAGCATTCTTGGGGCATGTTGTATCTAAGGAGGGCATTATGGTAGATCCGGCGAAGATTGAGACTATTCGTGGTTGGGCTAGGCCTACCTCAATTACTGAGATTCGGAGCTTCGTCGGACTAGCAGGCTACTACAGACGATTTGTGGAGGGTTTCTCTACCTTGGTACCACCTCTGACTCGGTTGACTCATGTTGATGTTCCCTCTGTTTGGTCAAAGGAGTGTGAGGTGAGCTTTTTGAGGCTCAAAGAGTTATAGACCACCGCTCTTATATTGACATTTCCAGCTGAGGGTGAGGGCTTCACGGTTTATTGTGACGCATCCGGCGTTGGTTTGGTTTAGCGAGGGCTTCACGGTTTATTGTGACGCATCCGGTGTTGGTTTGGGTTGTGTATTGATGCAGCAGGGCTGGGTTATTGCTTATGCGTCGAGGCAGCTTAAGATCCATGAGCGCAACTACCCCACTCATGACTTGGAGTTGGCGGCGGTAGTTTTCGCGCTTAAGATTTGGAGGCACTACTTGTATGGAGTTCGATGTTAGATCTATACCGATCATAGGAGTCTTCAGTACATCATGAGCCAGAATTACCTTAATTCGAGGCAGCGTCGTTGGATTGAGCTCCTGAAGGACTATGACCTCTCTATTCTCTATCATCCGGGCAAGGCAAATGTGGTAGCGTACACCCTAAGCCGAAAGGCGGTGAGTATGGGTAGTCTAGCCTTCTTATCTGTTGAGGAGCGACCCTTGGCTATGGACATTCAGTTCTTAGCCAATAGTATGGTTCAGTTGGATATCTCAGATCCTAGACGTGTCTTGACCCATATGGGAGTTCAGTCTGCCTTGATTGATAGGATCTGCGGTTGTCAGTTTGAGGATGAGGCCTTGGTGGGCCTTAGAGATCGAGTGTTAGCGGGTGATGGTGGTCAGGCTACCTTAGATCCTGATGTAGTGTTGAGATTCACCGGCCGCATCTGTGTTCTAAGAGTTGGGGATATGATACAGTTGATACTTTCTGAGGGCCATGAGACTAGATACTCTATCCATCCGAGCATAGCGAAGATGGATCGTGATTTGAGGCAGCATTACTGTGGAGTGGCATGAGGAGAGATATTGCTGACTTTGTTTCCCGTTGCTTGTGCTGCCAGCAGGTAAAGGCCGAGCATTTGAGGCCTGGTGGTGAGTTTCAGAGATTACCCATTCCGGAGTGAAGGTGGGAGTGTATCACTATGGACTTCATTGTGGGGTTGCCTCAGACTTCTAGAGATGTTGACAGCATTTAGGTCATCGTTGATCGATTGACCAAGTCAGCACATTTTCATCCAGTTCAGTCTTCATTTAGCGCCGAGAGGTTGGCTAATATCTACATTCGGGAGGTGGTTCGACTTCATGGGGTGCCGGTTTCTATTATATCAGATCGGGTTCTCAGTTCACGTCCAGCTTTTGGAGGACCTTTCAGGATGAGTTGGGCACTCGCGTTGACCTTAGCACAGCTTTCCACCCGCAGACGAATGGCCAGTCAGAGCATACTATTCAGGTCCTGAGGATATATTGCGGGCCTGTGTTATGGAGTTTGGAGGTTAGTGGGACCAGTTCTTACCTTTGGCGGAGTTTGTGTACAACAACAGCTACCACTCTAGTATTCAGATGGCCCCATTCGAGGCATTATATGGTTGGCGTTGTCACTCTCCAGTTGGTTGGTTTGAGTCTACAGAGCCTAGGCCGCGTGGTACAGACATACTTCAGAAGGCCCG